CCTGCCATAAAAAATTAAGTACCAAACATGATTCCTTTCAGCACCTAAACCTACTAAGAACCATGAGCTGCAATCTCAACCTCTTATCCATGTACTGATTGAGCTGTTCCTGCAAATCAAGAGGGAACGCTTCCAATGCCACAGAGACTTGACGGTCACTCTCGAGACATCTCTTCCTCAAATTTCTAACGATTTGGAGTTCAAGTTCCTTGTCGTCTTTGGTAGGAACTTGCTCGGCTTCCCCGAGGTAGACAACCCTTGCGTTCATTAGCTTCTCCCACACTTTCTTCTTGTCTTTCCCCATGGCCATCGGTTCACCGATGGATGTGGCGTCATAGATTCTGGAGGTTATAGTCTCTTCCTTGTTCACTGACGTAGGCGGCGGAGGCGGAGGCGGCGGAGGAGTAGGAGTTGCTGGTTCGGCAGGAGCGGAAGAGGTCTCTTCAGAGGCTAGAGAGAGAGAAGGTTTGAGAAACAGAGAAGCAGCGGCGGAGAGGAGTGGCGGCGCGAGGAGAATAGCGCGGCGAGAGCAGGCGGTTGAGGATGGAGGGTCGGAATCAGAAAGAGCAACGATGGATAGAGAACTTCTCTTTCTAGTGAGGTTGATAGGAAGATGAAGGCCATGGCGGCGGGGACGGGAAGAGGAGGAGAGGCAGGGGCAGTGAAAGGATGGTTGAGAAGCGAAGAGATCATTCGTGGTGGTGAGTTTCATTCTCAGACAAACGCAACTCCGTTTGTACACGTCACCCTTATTACATCCTAGCTCGAACGATAGAAATAAAACAGTCTGAGATTTTATTATTTAAAAACGCGATAAGATTGCCACGTCATTTCAAATATTTCGATATCTATTTATCTTTTTATGGTGCAGAAACACTAAAGCTTAAGACGTCCCATGTTAAGTAATTAACCCATAATCTTAGATTCTTAGATGATCTTACCTTGTTTTTTTGGTAAACGATCTTACCTTGTTTGGAGCAACATCTCTGACTTTGTGGAAGTGGAACACCGGGTCTTCTATATGAAACTTCAAAGCAGTTTTAAATTCCTTAATCATATCACAAAAGCAATCATTTAGATTCCCAAGGCATGCATAAAAATCATACCAGAATTAACGTTGAGTTAGTCTACTGATAAAAGGGTTAGTGATAAAAGGGTTTCGGCTGTAACTTTCGTCACCAAGATTCAATTCACGCTGAGAAGAATTATTTACAATGTTTGGGTTCCCAACAAATAGTTGAAACCACATTTTTCTATTGAAATCACCGTAGATTAACGCGTTAAAGATTTCTGAAGAACATGTGTCGTAGATGCTCTTACCTTGTTTGGAGCAACATCTCCGACCTTGTGAAAGTGGACCACCGGGTCTTCTATATGAAACTTCAAAGCAGTTTTAAATTGAAAATATTACACTCTATGGCAGTTTTAAGTTTATTATTACACTATGGGAGAGTTCTTACTATTAAGATAGTTTTATCTAACTAAACTCACTTTATAGTTAAAAGCTAACTAAATAAGTTTCTAACTAATTCCATACACTAACTAAGTTTTATATCTAATCTTTATTTTATTGATGGGATTTCATCACAACCCTTCTGAAATCTTTTTTATCTTTTTCAAAAAAATGACTTTTACGGAATTATTCAAGAGACTGCGGTGAAATCTCATCAAATTTTTTTTCAATTTCTTTCAACAGACAACTCTGAGATTTCGCCGTTGTACGTCTTGATTAACCCTAATCAGACATCGTTTGGAAGAAGGGGACACTCAAACGTGACGATTTGGAACAAATCGTTCAATAAATCTGAAACCAAAAAATCACATTTGTTCAAACTTTTCAGACAAAGCCATGAATTAGGATTGAAAGCTATCACATCTGGGTAAAAAATACATTAAAACAAGTTAAAAATGTAAAGAATCGTGGAAAATAGGCGATTTAGGCGGAAATTAGGGTTTCTAGTAAATGGCTAAGGAAGAAGATCATGTCATTTTGGTAATTTTGCAATATTAATAAAAAAAAAAATCGTGTGTACATTAAAGTCAAACTGTACATGTGTACACCTAATTTGTATTATACATCAAAATTATTTTGTACACTTTTTAATAGGTTTTCTATCTAAATAACTAAACATCTATGACTTCATGAACTCACAATAATGTTAACACAAAACGAGATGCTAAAAGTCATTAAATACATGAGATATCATATATGTACACATGAGTCTTTTTTGTATGTACACATCGATGTGGATATTTGGGTATCTAATATCTATGTACAACCAGGTCGGATGCACCCTTTTGCTCATATGGATATGTAAAATGATGTACAAATATATAACTAAAACATTGTACATTTGATAACTTTAAATAAGTCATTAAAAACATAAGATGTCATATATGTACACATGAGTAGTTTTTCTATGTACACATTGATGTGGATATTTCGGTATCTAATATCTATGTACAACCAGGTCGCACATACCCTTTTGTTCATATGGATATGTAAAACAATGTACATATATATAACTAAAACATTGTACATTTGAAAATTTTAAGTGAGATTTGTAATTTTACTATTATATAATCTTCTCATCTCTACAACAACCAAATTAAAATGAATCACATCTCATCTATATATGATTTGAGTAATATATGATATGATTGAAATGTATACCGTTGTTTGCCTTTAAGAGGTGAAAAAAAAATTTCTTTGAAATGTAATTGTAGAAATATGTATACATTCTTACCATGGTATAACATTACTCATATGGATTTACAAGTTTCAAGATGTGTACTTTGACTTAGAAGTGAGATAGCAGAAATATGTGTACACATTTTCATAATATCACACTATATAACTGAATAATTTTGCTAATTACAAAATGTACAACCATATAATGTCCATGTGTACACAAAAAATTTTACTATCAAGTACAATGATTCACTTGTATAATATTGTCCACATATATACTGATGCATAAACACCCATATGTAAGACTTTTTTTTTTTTTGAGCAAGAATAACAAATGTCATGTGTGTACACTTTGTGACACGTAAAAACTTAAACAAATTAAAAGGTTGAGACAAATGGACATGTTATTTTGTGTACACTTTGTAATGTGTACACATGTACATCAACAATGGACCAATACATGTAAAGAGGTTGTAGACATATAGGTAAATTGGTCGTTACTTACTAAAATACATAATAAATAGATCAAGTTAAACTGAAAATGATGTACATGATATGTGTATACATGATTTTGTATTTTATTCATATCTAATGACTTTAGTTTTGCTTTTAGTTCATTTAATTTATTTTCCAATGCATTTAAGAATTAATTATGTGCATATATTGCCAAATTTCCATTAACAGAGAGTTCTTTTACCTAGTTGGTTAATTTTGAGCATAATCAAAGATACAATTGATTTTGGGCATAACAATATGTCTACACATTAATTTGTGTGTTATGTATACACTAATGATTTTAGCTTTGATACACATGTACACTAGCAATCTTGAACGTACACATGTACACTAACAATCTTGAACGTACACATGTACACTAACGGATGTACATATCTTTATTTTTCTTTATTTTTATTTTTTAATAAGTGTCATTTTAGTAAATATGTCATCGTTTTTCTCAGAATTTTAGGGTTTTCTGCAACATTTTCTTTGCGGCCGCCTTTGTTTTTTTTCATAATCTTGCATTCTTTTAAGTTTTAATGTAAAATACACTTTAAAATAGTAGTTTTTGAACTTTTCTAACTTGATTTCGAACTTCAGATTTCGAAAAAATGAATTTTTGTGAGATTTGACCAAAGTTCTTCAAACTTTGTTTTGTAACTGAAACATGGCTGCCGCGGCGGATTTCAGATATCACAACCACCACGAGTTTTTGTCACTGCACAAAAGAGATTAATTGAAGAATATGTAGTAAAGGAAGAATTTGTTTGTGTAAGATTTTTGGTGAAGGAGATCGAGTTTGACTGAAGTTTTTTTGTGGTCACGAATGAGGATCAAGAAACACATTGAAGAGATCTGAAAAAGAATTTTTTTTTATTTCTTCACTTTCATCGGGCTCTACACATTCCATATTTTAAAATAATCCAAAAATATATTAGAAAGCTAAAAGCTCTTTTTCTATTTTACCCCACCAGTTAAACTTTTTTCAAAAGCAAGTTAAGATTTTTCACATATAAACTATCTTAGTAGCTGAAACTGCCTTATTTTGACATTAAAACACGTAAAGCTGTCCTACAGTGTTAAAAACTCTTTTAAATTCCCTTAATCATATCACAAAAGCAATCATTTAGATTCCCAAAGCATACATAAAAATGATACCAGATCCTTGGTAATTTCAGCTTCTTCTTTTCTGTCAACATGTAGTTTTGAGCTTGGTTTGGCCCGGTTTAGATTTTGGAGTAAAATTAGAAACCAGTTAATACCCAAAAGATCAGATTTAATTCACTTTTAGTTCGGTTTTGTTTTAAATATTTAACTAAAATATGGAATAGTTTAAATGGTTCAAATACAAATGAAGTATAAATTTTAATGTAAATTTGAACTTTTTAAAAAATAAAATAAATATTTATGGTTTCATATACATTTATAAATATTTATTTGATTAATTTAAGTAAAAAACAATTACTATTTTTAAATACAAGATTATATTTTGAATATTTGTTTGATTTTCATTTGACCTCAAATACTTATAATTTTTTTATTTGGTTCAACTTTTTAATTTCCCAAATCTAGTTTGATTAACAAAATTGAAAGAAAAAAAGATCTCAAAAAAAAGAAAAAAACAAAAGGAAGCGTCGAACCCGTGACGTGAGGGTTGGGCCGGCGCAACCTTTATAGATCATCAGGCCCTAAAATTCTCTAAAGACGAAGCTCCGATCTAATCCACCAATCACAACTCTCTCTCTCTCTCTTTCCCAATCTCAAGATCCAAACCTCTCTCAACCAAAATCAAACCTCACGCGCCACCGCCATGTCGACTCCACCGACCCTCCCCGTCACCAATCAACAACAACCTCAGCCACCAATCAACACCCCCGCCTTCCGCACCTTCTTCTCCCGCCTCTCCACCTCCATCCGCGACGGCTTATCCCAACGCCGCCCCTGGGCCGAGCTCGTCGACCGAAGCTCCATGGCCCGACCCGAATCCCTCACCGACGCTCTCTCCCGGATCCGCAAGAATCTCGCCTACTTCAAGGTGAACTACGTGGCCATCGTCTCCCTCGTCCTCGCCTTCTCCCTCTTCTCCCATCCTCTCTCCCTCCTCGTCCTCCTCGGCCTCCTCGCCGCGTGGATGTTCCTCTACCTCTTCCGTCCCTCGGATCAGGCCTTGATCGTATTCGGGAGGACCTNACCGACGCTCTCTCCCGGATCCGCAAGAATCTCGCCTACTTCAAGGTGAACTACGTGGCCATCGTCTCCCTCGTCCTCGCCTTCTCCCTCTTCTCCCATCCTCTCTCCCTCCTCGTCCTCCTCGGCCTCCTCGCCGCGTGGATGTTCCTCTACCTCTTCCGTCCCTCGGATCAGGCCTTGATCGTATTCGGGAGGACCTTCTCGGATCGGGAGACTCTTCTTGCTTTGGTTTTGTCGACGATCGTTGTTGTGTTTATGACGAGCGTTGGGTCGCTTTTGACGTCTGCGTTGATGGTTGGGGTCGCGATTGTTTGCGTTCACGGTGCGTTTGTGGTTCCGGATGATTTGTTTATGGATGATCAGGAGCCTGCTAACGCCGGGTTGCTCTCGTTCCTTGGTGGTTCTGCTACCTCCGCTGCTGCTTCGGTTGTCGCGGCGAGAGTTTAAGGTTTCTCTTTGATCATTATTGTTGTTTCATCTTCTAATATGGAATTTTGATGTTTTTAAGCACATGGTCGTCTTTAGCTTTTATTATGTTTTGCTCATTTAGTTTGTATGATTTGAACTTGGAATGTTTCATGTTTTTGTGGTTTCAACATATATGTTTTGTCGGATTTTGTTCAGTTTAACAGATTTTACGATATTGAGAATGTGTTTCCTGATTACGATAGCATTGGTTTTGAAGTCTTGGCTTTTTATGTCAGTACACGAGAAGTTCCACTATTGTCCACATATTAAAACAAAGAGATTAGGTGAACGCTAGTTAAATGATCTACATGATTGAAGGTTGTGGTAATTGATTATGTGTGTTTACATAGACTTCTTATATAGACTAAGGGATCCGGTTTTCACAGTTAACCAGACTTATTCTTAATTACACTGTTTATACAATCATTTACATTTTGTTGTATTCTGGTTTGTGCTACTTCGTATAGTTTGGTAAATAGTAGTAAAATCTAAACTTGTGAATGTGTGCGCACACTTTGGATACAAATGAGTCTTTGTGGGTTTTCACTTTGTTAGCATTACCATGAGTCTTTGTGGGGTTTGACTTTGTTATGCATCATACATATGAGTTTAAGGTAAGAATTATTTCTTGCAACCTAAGAATGCTACGTGACATTCTGTGGTAATCAAATGATCAGAGTTTTGAATTAGATACAGAAAACAAGTGTTTGAAATCAAATACTACCTTTTTTTGTGCAAACCAAACGAAATCAAAGTATACCAACCAGCAACTGCGTTAAAGGAGAGAAGTAAAGATGGATACATAAATGTTAAAACACTCAATCTCGTAAAACGCAACATTTCTTTTCATTTTCTATTGGCAAAATGTTTCACCTTTCAAGTTTCAAAGTCGTGTCTCTTACAATATTTCGCTTCCCACCAGGGACGACCCAGAAATCTAAATAGATTGTGGCACATAATTTTTTATTATAATAAATAAAACATATTTATTTAATATTAAATGTGTGATATATAATTTTAAAAATTAAAATCAAACTGAAATATTAACTAAAAATTAAAATTCCTGATAAAATAAAAAGTAATACAAAAATCTCTTAAAATTATTTTTTGCTTTCCTATATCTTGAAATCTTTTGATTACTGCTTCATTTGTCACTTTGTCAAAATGATCATTTTCAGTATAACAAACCATACAAACATTCAAAAAATCTTCACTCATTCGGTTGCGTAAAGTAGTCTTCACAATTTTCATCGCATAAAAAGATTTCTCGATAGTAGCAATAGCAACAGACAAAGTCAAAACTAGCTTCAGAAGTCGATAAACAAGAGGATGTGAAAGATGTTTTTTGGTCTCCACCATCACACGTGCAAGATCTCCAAGACCCTCCAAATTGGCGCACTTTTGATCTTCAGAGATGCTATCAATGTAAATACCAAGTTGATGCTCAAGAGATAACTGTTCCACATAACAAAAATCTTCAGGATAAAACTCTGATAATCTAACAAGTTTTGACTGATCAAACTGGTGGAATGAATCAGTGGGGCTCAAAGATGCAGTGCAACCAAGCAGCTCAGTGTTTATCTCATCAAAACAATCATTAAACTCTTGACTTTGCATATCCAATACTGTGTAAAAACATTCAACTTGATAATGATGCAAGTTTGTTATGTTGCTTCTATGTCTTGGCCTCTTTAGAATAACAAATTCTTCTTCCATACTGAGCAACTCTGTTTTATTTTTTTCGCAAAAAGCGTTCACCTTTCCAATGATTGAATCTCATCCATTATCCCTCAGCTTGTACAATTGTTGCTAGGTAGATTTCACTAAAGGCATTGCATTCAAAATATTCTGATATTTCCTTTGTAAAGCCAGTGATAGATTATTTGTGAGACCAAGAAGAAGTAACATGAATTGTAAGTAGAACACAAAGTCAAACGTGTGAAAATATTTGAGGAGACCATTAGTTTGACACATTTTGCTACCATCTGACCCTTCTTTCGACATACTCCAACACTTTAATGATGGAAATGAATAAATCAGCCAATCTCAATAAAGTTTTGTAGTGCGAACCCCAACGAGTATTACCAGGACTTTGAATTGAACGTTCTTGATTTAATCATTTTCCTGTCTTAATTTCACCCTGACTAACTCCTTTTTCGAGTATTTTACGTTGGTATTCTCGAATCATATCTTGTCTCTTACAAGAAGCTCCAACCTCATTTAACAAGACATAAATCTTATAAAAAACACTAACTTCAAAATGCTTTTTATCAAGTGCAACGACAATCAACTGAAGCTGATGAACAAAGCAGTGGACATAATATGCAGAACTGTTTTCTCTTAAAATTAGAGATCTCAACCCATTAAACTCACCTTTCATATTACTAGCTCCATCATAACCTTGTCCTCTTAACTTTTTCATGCTTAGTCCACGTTTTGCAAACAATGAATCAATAGCACTTTTTAGAGATAGAGAAGAAGTTTCTTGAACATGAATAAGACCAACAAATTTTTCTTTGACTATTCACTTTTTATCAACAAAGAGAAAAACCACAGTCACTTGCTCTTTAGTAGAAACATCTGCAGACTGATCCACCATCAAGCAAAATACATCATGATCAAGCTCATGAATAATAGATTGAATAACTTCCTCAGCAAAGCAATGTGCTAGGTCTTTCTGAATTTTGTGAGACACCATTTGATTATTCTTAGGAGCATTCTCAAACACAACCTTACTTACAAGCTCATTCTGATTTGCAGTATATTTCACAAGCTCAACAAAATTTCCCTTATTAGCTTATTCCATTGACTCATCATGTTCTCTAAAAGGCAATCCTTGCCGTAATAAATATCTACAAGCACCAATTGAATCATTCAATCTGATCTTGTATTCATTTTTTGCTGATTCATTCTGGTTATAAAAAGCACGAGCGATTGACTGATCTTGATTCATTAGATTATCAGCCATCTTCATAGCATTGTTGTGAAAGCTATTCACTAGTCCCACATGGTCTCCTAACCTCTTCGGATTTTTCCAAGTATCAAAGCCTTCTGTCACAAATTCATCACTTCCACATTTATTTTCAGTGTAGTCTCTAAACAAGAAGCAAAACAAACAATATGCTTTGTTTGTTATTACACTATATTCTAACCACCTCTATAGCGATCAAACCAAGCTGGATTAAATCTTCTATATTTATTCTCTACTAGTGTCTTAGGAAAATCATGACCACGAGGTTGACAAGGACCTTTAGTAAGGTATTTGCGTCTTACCTCATCTCTTTCATTAGTGTTGATATTCAGATATTCTTTTTTCCGTCTGCAGGATCTGAGGGTAAATCTTCCAAATTGGGTTCTGGAACTGAAGGCAAATCCTTATTGATTTGTGATGTCGAAGCTGGATCCTTCACATTAGTTTTTGATGCCGATAATAAAGAATTTGAGGTCAAATTATCTGAATTAGTATTCAACTTCGATACACGCTGTTTTTTTTTTAATATCTCTCCATAGTACCTGATAATAAATATATTAGTATTCAAGACGATAATACACAACACAAAAAAATAACCTAAAAATCAAATAAATATATAGAAGATCGTTACAGATGGTATATGCTTACTTTAAAGTGATACTAAAACAGGCTCCTATGGTCGTAATTAAGTAAAAAAGAAAGAGATGAGCACTAAGTTTTGTTATATATGAAAAGAAGTAAAATGAAAAAAAAATTGTTACAGATTTTCTCTAAAGAGAGAACGTAAGAGATGATTAGGGTTTAAAGCATTTGGGCTGATAAATTTTGGGTAGATCTAACTAATTTATTTCATTTAAAGTGGGCTTCAAGTTTTGTCCCAAAAATGGGTTTTACGTATTATTTATTGGGCTGAAACTTTTATGTTGGGTTAATAAAGTTACTTTAGTTTCTGCTGGGTGGGGCACATGTCTTTTCTGTAATGTAAAGTAGGGATTTTTTTTTTAATTACTAAAGAGAAAAAAATAAAACAGCATGGGGCAAGTGCCACACTCATTATACTGGTGGGTCCGCCCCTGCTTCCCACCATGGAGGGTAGTTTCTTCACCTTGACAAACTGGATTTGTTAAAATACAATGGCACACTTGGGCTTTAGAAGATCTAGTTATTATTGTCTGGTGCGACGCATAGATGATAAGAAAAAAAAAGGTTAATGCTTCCCCGTAGATGATAAGTTAATGCAATTCATAGATGATAAGAAAAAAAGTATCCGAGAGTGAGATTGTATTGTAGCTCATGAGAGGTTGCTAAGCTTCCCTAGTTTCATCGTAAATCGAAATCAATATAAACTTAGACCATATTAATTTTTGTATTTGTTGCAGCACGTAAATTTTGATATATATGAATATAACATGTCGATAATAAATTTTATTTTTACGATTAGTATTTGTATCGAGATGTAATATCTAAGTGTTAAGTTGTTTAGATGCACCATGTCTAACAATAATAAAATGGCAATAACAAGCTCCATAAGACTGTCACGTCCTCAATTATATTCAACCAATGAGATTATAACCTTTGACCACGTCAGCGGCGTTCCTGATTGTGTGGGCTTTAACTATTCACAGTCCATTTCCTTGAATTTTGATAGGATTTTCTGAAGCCCAATTCGGTGCAGCGGTGGTGGACATCTTCTTCAACGCTAAATCCTTTTGAGCATTCCTATAAACCCTAATTTTATCCGGACTAATCGTGTACCCTTTGATCTTCCTCTTCTCTCGTTCTGGTAGTCTAATCTCATCAATACATCTTCCACTTCTCTTCTCGATTTGGATATTTTGTTTGAGTGCGTTTATGTTTAGCCTCGACTTCCTGTCTTCGCCTCCCTCTCTCACAACATCAACAATCAGTCTCCGATATCCATTCTCTCTACCAGGAAGCTGCTGCCACCTTCCAAATCCCCAATCCCCCACAAACCACCACCTAAATACATAAGTGGCTTCAAAACCAGGCGATGCTGCGTTGAGATTGAGTTCCCGACAAGATTATGTCTCTTCTCTCCGTATACATCTCCACCAACGGTTTTGACCACGTTCTTCCTCCACTGGTTCGTTTCTGATAGATTCTCAGGTTTGTATCTAATAATATTCCTTAAATTTATATTGTACTAGGGTAGG